TTAGGGGCTTCTGGGGCACTCTGGTCCTCTTTGTTATTACTCATTATTGCTTTGAACTAATAGGTAGGAATACTATTTTTCTCCCTTTTGGCGAAAATTTTATTAAGTGTGATTTAAAGTAGCAGTCTATTGTGCTTTTCTCTTTTTGGCACAAAAATCTCTATTTTGTTATTATTATTATTATTATTACTGGCATAAAATAGTAGTGGCTCAGTGATTACATACAAGACTTCAATAGAAGAAAATTTTCACTGTTTCTTTTCTAGCCATTTAATCACTTGTTCCATTTCAGGTTATTACTGAAAAAATTTTGCCGTGGAGAGCAGGACGGAATGCTAAAACCAAGCCTTTCCAAGCGTCAAATGCACTAGGTTCTTCTAGGCCGAGCCTTCCAAGACTTGGGGTGTTTTCTAGGTTTCTTGCTGAATTTCCTGGGTAAGAGAGGCAGTGACTCTGTCTCTTGGATTTGCTGTGAACCCCCTGCCTAGCTCCCCGGATCCCTCCTCCGCTGTGCACCCTCACGTACCCTCCAGCACGTGACCTCTAGAGTAAAATCTGCTGTGTCATCCTCCGCTTTAAAAAAAAAAAAAGTACCAATCCATTATGTAGACACACAAGCCAGTGTTCAAAGTTGTACCTACCTGGGTTCGCTCAAGGTTAGTTTCTATCTTTGGTCAAGTATTTTAACATCTCTGTGTTTCAGTTTCCATTTCTGCAAAATGAGGGTGATAATAATAATAATAGTTATGTTATAGAGATGTATTAAATGAATTCAATGATGTAAAATGCTCAAACCAACGCTGGGCTCGGAATCAGCGCCTAATACGGGTTATTGCAGTCGTTCTGGTTCCATGTGCATCAGGTGAGGTCTTCACCAGCCGCCTCCCGTCAGTTCTCCAGCGTCGCATCTCTCCGCACGCCCACAGGCTGGCCCAGCCTTACTCCTGGCTCCTCAAGCCTCTTTGGCTTCTGTCTCCCCGCCTTGGCACCCCCAAACCAGCGTCTCTGCTTTCAGGCCTATCCTTCCTCTCTTCGTGGGCCACATGCAAATAAATACGTATCCATCTTTCAAGGTGACCCAAGGCCACCACTCTTCCCAGCAGCCCCACTCCCCACTACTGCCTGCTAAGCGTTTCTCCTACCACATTTCAAAACATTTTATTGTATTTCGTTGTTTCCGTGTTTGCCTCCCTTCCTTAGTTTTTACATTCTTGAGGACAGGAACTGTTTTTTATCTTTGTTCAGTGCCTAACTACAGTGCCCGATGCAGACCAGGCACTGATGGATATTTCTTGAGTAACTGCATGTCCCTCTCAGTTTCCCAATTCCTTAGTGTCATCTTGTCTCCCAGTTGCACACTAGACTCACGACAGTGAGCACAGAGGAAATTCAGTATTGAAGTAACCTGAAAATAGACGCAGAGTTGATGCACTCACAAACTTTTCTTTCCCCACCCCAAGCACTTGACTTTGGAAATCTGATCTGGGGAAGGTATGATTATTAATGAAACACTCTACAGCTATCAGAACAGAACTGCTTTTGCCACCTTCATAAATGCAAGGGGCTGAGAGTTCAGTAGCTCAGCATTGTCTTTAAAATGGTAGGAACATGTTTGCATGAAATATTTGTGTTTCTTAGTGGCACAACTTTAAAATGTTCTGAATTAAACTTGAAACTTGCCTACAGACTTTCTATTCACTATTAGCTTAGTCTATAGAGGCAAGAAGACCCTGTAATAAAATAACACATAATAAGAAAAGCACCGGAAACTTTTCTTAGTTGGAGAAATGCTCTTTCATGTAATTAACTCAGAGTTTATTGCTTGTTATAAAATGGAAGGAACTAGATTGCAATAGATGATCTAGGGATCCTTTAGAGTTTCTCCCTAATCTTTGACAAGAAAATTCTTCCTTATCTTCAGTAAAAGGGACTAAATTACTTCTAAAAGTCCAACTTTTAAGAAGATCATATTTCTGAGTGTTGCTATTATTCTTACATTCATTAGAAATAAACTAGAAACATCAGATTTTGAAGCACAAATTCTTCCTATATGTGTATAGACATATTTATAAAATTCATCTGGAAATAATTTAAGAAGGTTTCAGCTGCAAGGAACCTTGAAAAATAACTCCCTCTAAGCTGTTTGGAAAAAAAAAATTTGTCTCCCAAAAGCTTAGAATGCAACATGTAATACCTTCAGGCAAAAAAACAACCAAACAAAAATACCTCAAAACCAAATCCTGTCTATAGTTAACAGTAATACCTCTTTTGGAACGCTGATGATTCCTCTGCATAGCTGTTAACTTGGAATTCACAGCTTTTCCATTCTAAAATTGGCAAAATTTTATCCTTAAGACAATGAAGCATTAAATAAAATTGATATAAAATGTGGAAACATACTAATCCTGTACTTCTGTTACAACTTCACCTCAAGGAAAAAAATAAAACCATCCTTCCACCCACATCCCAATACCATTGCAGACAGACTTCTTATTAGTGTGAAAATATAAACTCTGCATGCATAGGTAGCACAGAAAACTGTTTTACCATATCCCAAGGGGCATAGATCTAATTAATTTGTAAATATCCCTGGTATTTGAACTACATCTATTCTCAAGTCTAAATTATAAAATTGGGTCACAATTTCCAGAATGTGTTGTATGTAGATAAGATACATTCTTAGTTTTCTAAAGAGAAAAACCTTGATTTTCTGCTCTGGAAAATGAGGGATCTTATAAATTATTTTATGCTGAAAAACCGTGCTTCATCTGCCACAATTTAAGTTTTAGTCTCTAACAGCTTGGAGGCCGCCTGTAACTAAGTAAGCATCAATGCGTAAACATCCTTGCTAAGGCCTGGATTAGTCACTTTGACAAAACAATTGGGAGGTCATTTGGGGTTGTGGCATTTAAATCTGTTCTGACTTGAAGCTGACAGAATATCTTTGTGAAAAGCCACATTTCAGACTGAAAATATTCCAATTTGCTCTCAATGTGGGCATTTTGTATATTCTTGTAACTGTTGAGCCAGTTAAACTTTTCTCCACCGGTAAACAGCAAAACTAGTTCCAGTGTGTAATTCAGTGCTTTTCTAGGTTCAAAAAATGATGGATCTACAAAACAAAATGAACTTGTGGCAATGCCTGTCTTATCCCTGCCCATACTGGTTTATAATCGTTTATTTGGAAAGAGTGGCAAGAATGCCTAATGTGGTCTTTGATCTTCACCTTCAGCATTAACCATGAGCCCCTGAAAGAAAAGCATCAGACAGGGTCTCTTAACCTTTGTGAAATACGACAGTATACATTTATTCATATATTATGAGATGATAGATAGATACGTGATAGTTAACGTTACAAAAACAAGGGAAAAGGAGACCCTGTCTGACGTAAAATGATTATTATCATACAATACGACGATGACATGGAACGTATTACCTGTAGACTTTCCCTGGCTAGGCCCACTCTACAGGGACTGTACAGCTCACTGCATCTGTGAAGAAGGCAAATGAGGACAGAAAGAGAAAAGCGTGTAGTCGCTGTCGTTGTGCTGACTCATATTTTAGATCTGCTGAGTTTTTGCCTGCTTACTCGTTGGTTCAGTTGGTTGATTTCCCTATTTCTCTGGTAGTCCTGAAGCACAGATTAATCAGCCCTCAACACAGTGAGCTGATGTCGATTTAGCTGGAGGGTTCGTGTTATGTAAACGTGGTGATGATCTGCTATGTGGGTCTCCCTACCTGAATTAGGAGAACGGAGGAGGATGGGGCCACCGTGACCTAGGCACTGTGAATTCTATCGAGCCTCTGAGGGCTGCGCGCCGCTTCGGGGGGCTTCCAAAAGGGGATAGAGTGTGCTCAAATCTTTAAAATTTGTATGATTTTTATTGTGAAAGTACCAAGACTTCCATACCAATGTCCTATTTTTTATTCAGCTTTTCCTAAAGGGAATCATAGACTCATATGATTAGTTAGTTCCTAGAATCATAATTAAAACCAGAAAGGACTGCCCTCCTTCGCCCTGAAGCTCTGAGAGGTCTGGCTCTCTAATACTCTTGAGCCCTCCTTTTTTCTCCATTTTCACTGCCGCTGTCCTAGTTCATGTTTAATCAAATCTCATCCGGACAGGTGCAATAATCATAGCTGGCCACCCTGTTCCGTCCCTTCCTTCCCTCAACTCCTGTCAGTTGCACTGACCTAAAAGTGATTTCCTAAGAAACACACCTGGTCCTTTTATTTTACTTTCATGTATAAAAATCCGACAAAGGGCTCCTTTGGCATTCAAGACAAAAGCACACGCTTTCACTTGCTGTGAAATACTTCCCTTCCCCACCTCCGCACCTGCCCCTGGCAACCTCAACCTGTTTTCAGCTACACTGGGATGATTCCGGGGCACAGACACGCACTATTGCTTTTTCCTCTGTGTACAACAACTTTTTCTCCTTGCTCACTGGAGACTCATTCCTCAAGACCATCTTGTCCCCTTTAGCACCTTTTGCTACCCTCAACAAGACACAGAGGTGGATCAGGGTAACGGGGCAGTGCCGCACCCAGTGGGGCTGGAGGGTCCCTCCCCGAGGCCCTCACACTACTCAGGGGGAAGAGCACGTGCTGGGCCAGGAATGTAGACTCACTGGACCTCAGAAGTGCCAGGGAACCATACCCGGTAGAAGAAGCTTGGGCTGTTATCTCCTCTGGGGACAATGGGGGTACAATGCTATGTGACTTGGGTGGAGAAGAGGTTGCTAATTAACTCAAGCAACAAAAAGAAGGGCCAGGGCTGGAAACAGGCAATTGGAGGGGATATGAGAAGTTTTTCCTGAACATACTAGGATTTAAAACATGCTTCATCTACAAATAAATGATAGTTCTCTCAACTGAATTAGCTTAGCTTGATGAAAAACTCATCAGATTTTTCTTATTTTTCTCCTTTTCCTGTGGAATTATGGAAAAATTTGACATGGACCTGCATTTTGGAGTCAATGGCTCACTGAATCACATATAGGCCCTTTGTACATTGTTATTTACAAACAATGGGACTGTGGTATGAAGTAAAACATTCTTTAAAAGAGAAGGTGGGATTGTAAGTCAGTGCAGGATCTTTAAAGGGCCTCTGGAAACACATATTAATATAAAATGTGTAAATCTTTTGACCCAACATGTCCGCGTCTAGGAATTTATTCTCACAGAATGAGTGGGCGAGTTCACCCCGATGTATATGCACAGCTATTATGCCAGCATTGTTTATTATATTGACAGGTTAGAAACAACCAAGATGTCCTTCAGGTAATATAGTTATGTAACAGACTACAGTGCGATCATCAGATAAATGACTGCTGCCCACCATTAAATAGGATAAGGGTCTAATATGTGTTTGACATAAGTATGTCTCTGACATATTGTTAATGGGAAAAACAGGTTACAGAAATTAACATCATTTAGTACATAACCTGTTTTATTTTACATTTTAGAACTGTTTTATTGCAATATAATTCACATGCCATAGATTTCACCCATTTAAAATGTACAATTCTCAGTCACTGCCACAACCTAATTTTATAACATTGGTCTTTGCCCCTAGAAGAACCCAGTACTCACCAACAGCCAACCCCCATTGCCTAAGCAACCATAAATCTATACTCTTTTCCTATTAAATTCCCCTTTGAGGACACCTCAAACTGCTCTCCACCCCCATGGCACTGTGTGTGCCCCAGTGCCTCCACATGCCCGCTCCCCCTTTTTGTTATGTGTCTTTTCCATTACAGTCGTCCCGTGGATGTGAAGGGTATCTCACTGTGTTTTTGATTTTGCGTCTTCCTACTGACTCATGACATTGAACACCTTTGCTTGTGCTAATTGGCCAATTCCAATTTATTTTAAAGATTATGTGAGCAAACACACCTGGGAAGATAGATACTAAAGTGCTAATAGCACTTTTGTCTAGGGAAGGGTGCTTCTTATTTTCTACTGTGTTTCTGTAACATTCAGGGATCTGCCAAAGGAACAGAACTAGTGTATGGATGCCTGGATCAGTGGGTAGATAGGTAGTTGCTAAGAAGATGGATGATTGGTTGATAGGCAGATGATAGATAGTTGTATCATAAGGAATTGGCTTATGCAATTATGATGGCTGGCTAGGCAAGCCCGGGATCCATGCAGTGGAGTATGTGGTCAGAAGGGTAGGCTGGAGCAGGCTGTAGACAGAAATGATTAGAGGAGCCCATCTAGATTATCAAGGATAATGTCCTTTACTTATAGCCTAACTGGTTGTGGTGTCAACCACACCTTCACAGCAACACCTGGACCAGCGTCTGACTGAATGACTGGATACACAGCCTGGCCCAGGTGACGCTGAGGGCCCACCTGGACGGTCCAAGCCGATCCTCACCTCCAGGTCTCCCATCACATCCGCAAAGTCCCTCCTGCCATGCAGGACAACATCCACGAGTGGCTGGTCCTGGTCAGCCTACCCCCGGGGCCAGTCGGCTGAGTACTCAGGACACAGACCTCAAGACGCTGTCTCCACTTTCCAAGAAACCGTTCTCTGGGAAACATTGACTCTCACAAAGCCACCCCCTTTTCACAGGCTGACGTTGGTGCGACTGATTCCAGGGGGACCTGCAGCCCTCAGATGGAAGCTGTCCTGCCCAGGGACACTGTGAGCAGCCCCAAAGGTTTGGAAAAACAAGCCCAGCTGGGAAGCTTGCCCGGAACCATTCTGGAAAGTTCCCCATCTCTTAGTGAAAGAAATGGAAGAGTAAATTCAGGTATGTTGATCTCCACGAAATGCTGTCACTCTAAATATACTGTATAATGTATGTTAGTGACCTTTTCTCACGGTTTTGTGGGGTAGGCAGCTCTCTAACTGGCACAAAAAGTCCCTCTCTCTAATGCACTAGAATTTTGCCTCCAACCTTCACTATATATGTAAATAACGCCAACCATTAATCTTCTTGTTGATGAAGTAATTAAAATCACTTTTTTTTCACTTTAAAACGAAGAGCCCTTATTGGTGGTGGGGAGCAAGCCTTGGGAGTAAGGGTTTCACAAGTTTTGGTTGAATTCCCTTCAACACCCACTATGTTACCATCTCTCCAAGGGAAAGTACTGCATTTGAAAACATTAATAAAACCTACATCAAAGTGTTTCCCCATCTCTCCGTCCAAAGTATCAGCAAATATACAGTCACCTTATCCTTCCAAAACCTAAAAGAGGTCATTATGATCTGATGCGCTGTTGAGAAACTCTTGGTAGTTTTTCCTGTGGTGCGTTTTCACTTTACTTGAGTTACGCCCCCATCCCCCTCCAGCCCCACCCCCAGGTGCGTGTTTACAGCTCTTATTTATATTCCCTCAGCCTCTGAAACAAATCGAACTTTAAGCGTCAAGGAAAAGTGTTCTTCTTTCTTGGGGGAAGCGTCTCTCTCATTCCTCATCGCTGCAGTTGTTTCCCCAGGTACACGTCAGAGTTGGTGGGTTGGTAACTGAGATTCTTCCTCGTGAACATCCGTGGCACCCTCTGGGTATCATTAAAATTTGTATGATTTTTATTGTGAAAGTACCAAGACTTCCATACCAATGTCCTATTTTTTATTCAGCTTTTCCTAAAGGGAATCATAGACTCATATGATTAGTTAGTTCCTAGAATCATAATTAAAACCAGAAAGGACTGCCCTCCTTCGCCCTGAAGCTCTGAGAGGTCTGGCTCTCTAATACTCTTGAGCCCTCCTTTTTTCTCCATTTTCACTGCCGCTGTCCTAGTTCATGTTTAATCAAATCTCATCCGGACAGGTGCAATAATCATAGCTGGCCACCCTGTTCCGTCCCTTCCTTCCCTCAACTCCTGTCAGTTGCACTGACCTAAAAGTGATTTCCTAAGAAACACACCTGGTCCTTTTATTTTACTTTCATGTATAAAAATCCGACAAAGGGCTCCTTTGGCATTTAAGACAAAAGCACACGCTTTCACTTGCTGTGAAATACTTCCCTTCCCCACCTCCGCACCTGCCCCTGGCAACCTCAACCTGTTTTCAGCTACACTGGGATGATTCCGGGGCACAGACACGCACTATTGCTTTTTCCTCTGTGTACAACAACTTTTTCTCCTTGCTCACTGGAGACTCATTCCTCAAGACCATCTTGTCCCCTTTAGCACCTTTTGCTACCCTCAACAAGACACAGAGGTGGATCAGGGTAACGGGGCAGTGCCGCACCCAGTGGGGCTGGAGGGTCCCTCCCCGAGGCCCTCACACTACTCAGGGGGAAGAGCACGTGCTGGGCCAGGAACGTAGACTCACTGGACCTCAGAAGTGCCAGGGAACCATACCCGGTAGAAGAAGCTTGGGCTGTTATCTCCTCTGGGGACAATGGGGGTACAATGCTATGTGACTTGGGTGGAGAAGAGGTTGCTAATTAACTCAAGCAACAAAAAGAAGGGCCAGGGCTGGAAACAGGCAATTGGAGGGGATATGAGAAGTTTTTCCTGAACATACTAGGATTTAAAACATGCTTCATCTACAAATAAATGATAGTTCTCTCAACTGAATTAGCTTAGCTTGATGAAAAACTCATCAGATTTTTCTTATTTTTCTCCTTTTCCTGTGGAATTATGGAAAAATTTGACATGGACCTGCATTTTGGAGTCAATGGCTCACTGAATCACATATAGGCCCTTTGTACATTGTTATTTACAAACAATGGGACTGTGGTATGAAGTAAAACATTCTTTAAAAGAGAAGGTGGGATTGTAAGTCAGTGCAGGATCTTTAAAGGGCCTCTGGAAACACATATTAATATAAAATGTGTAAATCTTTTGACCCAACATGTCCGCGTCTAGGAATTTATTCTCACAGAATGAGTGGGTGAGTTCACCCCGATGTATATGCACAGCTATTATGCCAGCATTGTTTATTATATTGACAGGTTAGAAACAACCAAGATGTCCTTCAGGTAATATAGTTATGTAACAGACTACAGTGCGATCATCAGATAAATGACTGCTGCCCACCATTAAATAGGAACTTCAGGTAATATAGTTATGTAACAGACTACAGTGCGATCATCAGATAAATGACTGCTGCCCACCATTAAATAGGATAAGGGTCTAATATGTGTTTGACATAAGTATGTCTCTGACATATTGTTAATGGGAAAAACAGGTTACAGAAATTAACATCATTTAGTACATAACCTGTTTTATTTTACATTTTACAACTGTTTTATTGCAATATAATTCACATGCCATAGATTTCACCCATTTAAAATGTACAATTCTCAGTCACTGCCACAACCTAATTTTATAACATTGGTCTTTGCCCCTAGAAGAACCCAGTACTCACCAACAGCCAACCCCCATTGCCTAAGCAACCATAAATCTATACTCTTTTCCTATTAAATTCCCCTTTGAGGACACCTCAAACTGCTCTCCACCCCCATGGCACTGTGTGTGCCCCAGTGCCTCCACATGCCCGCTCCCCCTTTTTGTTATGTGTCTTTTCCATTACAGTCGTCCCGTGGATGTGAAGGGTATCTCACTGTGTTTTTGATTTTGCGTCTTCCTACTGACTAATGACATTGAACACCTTTGCTTGTGCTAATTGGCCAATCCCAATTTATTTTAAAGATTATGTGAGCAAACACACCTGGGAAGATAGATACTAAAGTGCTAATAGCACTTTTGTCTAGGGAAGGGTGCTTCTTATTTTCTACTGTGTTTCTGTATCATTCAGGGATCTGCCAAAGGAACAGAACTAGTGTATGGATGCCTGGATCAGTGGGTAGATAGGTAGTTGCTAAGAAGATGGATGATTGGTTGATAGGCAGATGATAGATAGTTGTATCATAAGGAATTGGCTTATGCAATTATGATGGCTGGCTAGGCAAGCCCGGGATCCATGCAGTGGAGTATGTGGTCAGAAGGGTAGGCTGGAGCAGGCTGTAGACAGAAATGATTAGAGGAGCCCATCTAGATTATCAAGGATAATCTCCTTTACTTATAGCCTAACTGGTTGTGGTGTCAACCACACCTTCACAGCAACACCTGGACCAGCGTCTGACTGAATGACTGGATACACAGCCTGGCCCAGGTGATGCTGAGGGCCCACCTGGATGGTCCAAGCCGATCCTCACCTCCAGTGAGGATCCTCACCTCACATCCGCAAAGTCCCTCCTGCCATGCACGGCAACATCCACGAGTGGCTGGTCCTGGTCAGCCTACCCCGGGGGCCAGTCGGCTGAGTACTCAGGACACAGACCTCAAGACGCTGTCTCCACTTTCCAAGAAACCGTTCTCTGGGAAACATTGACTCTCACAAAGCCACCCCCTTTTCACAGGCTGACGTTGGTGCGACTGATTCCAGGGGGACCTGCAGCCCTCAGATGGAAGCTGTCCTGCCCAGGGACACTGTGAGCAGCCCCAAAGGTTTGGAAAAACAAGCCCAGCTGGGAAGCTTGCCCGGAACCATTCTGGAAAGTTCCCCATCTCTTAGTGAAAGAAATGGAAGAGTAAATTCAGGTATGTTGATCTCCACGAAATGCTGTCACTCTAAATATACTGTATAATGTATGTTAGTGACCTTTTCTCACGGTTTTGTGGGGTAGGCAGCTCTCTAACTGGCACAAAAAGTCCCTCTCTCTAATGCACTAGAATTTTGCCTCCAACCTTCACTATATATGTAAATAACGCCAACCATTAATCTTCTTGTTGATGAAGTAATTAAAACCACTTTTTTTTCACTTTAAAACGAAGAGCCCTTATTGGTGGTGGGGAGCAAGCCTTGGGAGTAAGGGTTTCACAAGTTTTGGTTGAATTCCCTTCAACACCCACTATGTTACCATCTCTCCAAGGGAAAGTACTGCATTTGAAAACATTAATAAAACCTACATCAAAGTGTTTCCCCATCTCTCCGTCCAAAGTATCAGCAAATATACAGTCACCTTATCCTTCCAAAACCTAAAAGAGGTCATTATGATCTGATGCGCTGTTGAGAAACTCTTGGTGGCTTTTCCTGTGGTGCGTTTTCACTTTACTTGAGTTACGCCCCCATCCCCCTCCAGCCCCACCCCCAGGTGCGTGTTTACAGCTCTTATTTATATTCCCTCAGCCTCTGAAACAAATCGAACTTTAAGCGTCAAGGAAAAGTGTTCTTCTTTCTTGGGGGAAGCGTCTCTCTCATTCCTCATCGCTGCAGTTGTTTCCCCAGGTACACGTCAGAGTTGGTGGGTTGGTAACTGAGATTCTTCCTCGTGAACATCCGTGGCACCCTCTGGGTATCGCAGATTTCCTATGCGTCCCTGTCTTGTGGTTCTGATCACGTGCAGACGTGACCTCTGAGAAGGAGGTAGGGGCAGGGGGTGCGTGCAGGGGCAGCCCCCCATCTCTGCTTGTAGGGCCAGCACTTCCCAGTCTGGTGACTGGAACCCCCTTGGGCTGCAGTGCTCCGTATCTCTGGGGTTAACAGCCGCATATTGCCAGGCGGCAGGGACCTGGGTGTGCCCCAGGCAGTCGGCCCTGCCGGCTACGCACTGCTGAAAGCAGGAGGGATGGCGGGCATGGGCAAGCAGGGTAGTGGTCCCAGAGACCGGCCCTGGGGGGGTGAGCTACCAGAGCAGATATTCCCAACATGTGGTGATCATTTTCAGGAGAGAATGAATAAGAATCAGTGCCCTAAGCTTACATGTGTTCTTTGCCCGGTGTCCCCTCTTTATACTGTCTGCATGCCTGCTCTTCACATTTACACGGTGTATTTGCTATAAGTTTTCAATTTTCACACCAATACTTCCCTAGCATTTCCTTTTTTTAAAAAAAATTGTTTGAATAATATCAGATTTAAGCAGTCATAAAAACCTAAGTTGCCTATATTCTTTCATCCAAATTTCCCCAATGTTAACATCAGCCCACATTTGCACTGTCATAGCCCCTCCCTCTCTCCCACCATGTCTCTCATATGCAAGTATATTTTTTTCTGACAGTAAGTCACAGACATAATGATTCTTTATTCCTAAATACACAAGTATGCATTTCTTAAGACAAGAACATTCTTTGCATAATCTAGGTACAAGGATCAAAATTAGGAAATTATCACTGACACAGTACTATTATTTCATCTACAGGCCATATTCAAATTTTGTCAACTGTCTCAGAAACGTCCTTTATAAATAAACCTCTGGTTCAAGACCTAATCCAGGACCACATGTTTGATTCTGCTGTCACATGGCTTTAGTCTCCTTTCGTCTGGGACAGGCTCTCAGCTTCTCTTTGTCTTTTATAACCTTAATATTTTTGGAAATATAGGCTGCTTATTTCATAGAATGTTCCTCAGTTTGGGTATACGTTAGGTTCAGGTTAGCTATTTTTAGCAAGAATACCAATGTGATATGGTAGCCCAGTTAGGGCACATCAAATCAGGAGGTATGACATGATATCTTTCCTTGTTTGGGGTTTTTTTTTTTTTCCTGCAAAAGCTTTTTTTAGTGTAGTAACCTTTATCAATCTCTTTCATTATTGAATTTGGATTTTGAGTCATAATTAGCAAGCCTTTCCCTATACCAAGGCTGAAAACAAATTCACCCACATGTTCTTGTATGACTTCACTTTTAACACTTAAAAAAAAAATTTCTAATCCCATGAGAAAAGATGAATGTAAATGTTAACCACATAGCAAACAAAACTGTATGTTCAGTATGATTCCAATTTATAAAAACAGATTTTTACGTAGTGACAACGGTAACCTCTGAGTGGTAGAAATATGGGCATTTTTATTCTCTTCTTTATTCTTTTCCGTATTTTCCAACTTTGCTAGGATAACCTTGTATCACTTTTATAATCAGAAGGAAGCACAGTGTTATTTAAACACTTTCCCCAATAATCTTCAACATCCCCTGAAACTTTGCCAGTTAGCTGCAGTGACCGACGGACTCCTGGGATCTCTATGGCTTAGCTGCTCTGCATGTCCAACCGCCTACTTTGGTGGCCTCAGAACAAAAGAGAGAGATGCTTAAAATAATCTTACTATCTTTGTGACAGATACCGACAATAAGCATCCTGAGAGGGCGGCGTTACCGACCAGCAGAAGCCTTGATGTGTCTGGGAGGGGCCTCCGTGAGGGAGGCGGTGAAGCATGTGGGTGTCGAAGTCAAATATTCTTGGATTCATGTCCTAGTTAATTCCCTTGCTACCCATGGCATCTTGGGCAAATTCATTAATTTTTCTTATGTAGTTTATTTATTTATAAAACAGGGATAGCACTTTCTCATTCACAGAATTCATGTTTTAATTAGACACTGTAAAGTATACATTATTTTTAAAAAGCCACGCATGTAAGTGCTTGAAAAATCTGTAATTTTGACCCTTGCCGATTAGACACCTTCTAAGAAAAAAAATCACTCTAATTCCTTGAAGAGGATTCACCTCTAACTTTTTTGGAAGTTTGCTGTGTTGTTTCAAGTTTCTAGTTTACCTACTTGAAAAACGTTTTTCCTCTCTGATCTGAAAGCTGTATCCAGCTCTTTAAAATGAGATTTGACTCTGTTTCGAACACCTGCTTGAACAGAAGCAAGCACTGGAAAGGCAATGAGATTATGGGGACTTTGTTGGGGTTACACGCAGTGGTCAGTTAGGGGAGTCTTTTATAATAAGAAGGTGACTATTCTGAAGTGAGAGACATCTGGTTAGTTTGTGTGTCTCTGTGTTTTTTCTATCTTCTCACTACGAATTTATGAAAACAGCTTTTGTTAACCAGTGAGGTTAGACATTTTTATAAAAAGGACTCCATCCACTAGACTGAATGGACTTGGTTACTGTCAGGACTCCTGAAGAGAACAGACTAGAAGATCGCTCATTTCTGGAACTCCTCATTGCACCTTTATTTTATAATGTGAGGTTGTACAAAGGGGTGCTTGAATGCTTCTTTATATAATCAGATGGTTTGTAGCGGAGGGTGTAGCCTATAAAAGCTCCCCTATAAACTGCTTCATCACCATTCTCAGCACCACTAATAAAAATTTAGCTGATTATCACTTGACTCCAGTGCTGATTTGGTTCAGAGGCTTTTCTCAGAAAGGCTTACTTGTACTTACGTGGATTCAGCAGATGGTGTGATTGTAAACTCAAGGCTGCCGAAATAGAAGTCTCTTGGCAACTGGGCGCTGTTTATCCTTCGTGTACAAAGCATAGAAACCAAACGGCAACTCGGAAGAGTTGCCAAAAGAGTCTCTCATTCTTAGGTGTGGTTCAGCTTCATAATTAGTGCAGAAAACCCATGAAGTCTCACCCAAGTGTCTAACTGTTGTCACAACAAGAAAGGGGTGCACAGCAGCACACGGAAGACTTTCTGTTAGGTTCATACAGTGCCTGGTAAGTCAACGTTGTATTGTGTCAATGTGTTGTCCCCTGTGAGGACACGAAGAATTTGAACTTCAAAAGGATCCAAAGATTTATAGTAGAAACAGGTATTTTGGTGAGAGTGTTGGGTCTAAGAGTGAAGTAAGTAGCATGATTTATAAGGCATCCATTCAGCACTGGATTGATGAAATGTTCACGCTTAGATTTCCATGTCTTCTTCTTTTCCTTTTGGAAGTCCTAGGGACCGGCGGACCGGTCCGTAAGCCCCAAGCCCTGGGGAATGGAGAGCGACCAAAGTCGTCAGACATCCTGGAGGAATTAATTGTTCAAGGAATAATACAGAGCCACAGCAAAGGATCTAGAAACGGAGAATCAGATGATATCATGGCAAGTAACTGTAATTAACAGTAGCTTATAGTTAAAAATAGCTACAGAATGTGATTGATCACAAGTCTTTATTTCCAGCATAAGCTTTTTCAAGTCACAATACAAATTACAACATTTATTATCCAAGCCGGGTTTTTCTCCCATGAACTCTCTCATCTCTCTGTACCCCACCCTTCTCAGCACATTCAGGAATTGTCCTGCTCCTTAATGATTCATGAGTCTAATAAAACAAACACATCATGGCTTTTTACCGAATTGAAGATGCAATAAGCTCCCTTAAATAACATGCCTTCATTCTTTCAACAGTTTTTAGTGAGCATTGCCTATGTACTAGGCATTGTAAATATAAAAGTGAACTCTGACTTATCCAGTAAGATAATAGGTCTAAACGCCAAAACTAAAACGGATGCGCTTACGCGTTTACATGTGCACCCTCTGGTCAAACGTGAGGAAACCAGTACAATGGTAGATGTCTGTTAAACCCTTATTTTTCTTTGTTGGTGCACCTTGATGAATCTGTCCTGTTTTTCCTTGGTGGGAGCAACACTTTCGCTCTGATTTTACCTGGTTGTGGCCGAAGTCTAGAGCTCTTAATTAGTTAGTCAGTTTCCTGTAAACCCTTGAAGAGGGGAGCTGACTTTATTGTTGCTCTTTTGTTCTCTTGCTTGTTTGGTTTTTTTTTAAAGCCAACGTCTCAGGCAGCACCCACAGCCCTAAAACAAGGGCAGAAGAAAGGTGAAAGAGAAAAAACCACAAAGCAAAGGGGCCTAAGGGAAACGAACAGAAAGGAAAAGAAAGAAGCAGAAATGGTGGGAATACATGCCAGGAATCACAGCAGAGGCTCTTTGTGGTGCTGACCCCTGTGTTGTAGGGAAAACAAGCAATTAGGTACAAGAAGATGCATCATTTAAATCGTTTGCCACCTAGGCCACGTCACATAGGGTGTGAATAAAGACAGGTTCATTCACTGTGTGCAAGACATGCTGAGAACTCATGAACAAAGGCCAAAGGGACATTTTTTTTTTTTGAAGAAGGGAAGTAAGTCCCATAGAAACCTGCTAAAACTTACGGATGATGCTGTCAGGCTACCAACAGTAAGAGGAGGTGGGGGAAAGCGGAAGGTCAAACAGTCATTCACCTAAAAAGACAAAATTCTCACGCATGCCCTGTGGAACCCAGCCTGGTTAATTTGCGATAACATTACACATGTATAAATATACAGATATGCAGTCATAATGATGGCAAATGAAATAAAATACACTCCTGAGGAAAAAAAAATGTCATTCAATGAAAAAGAGAACACCATTTTAGTGAGAATTTATGTCTGTAGAATGCTACTCTGGTAACAGGGCATCTTGGAGCACCTCACACTATTTCAAAGCTCTAAAAGAAGGGTGGTTCTTTAATATGGAAAGAGAAAGGAGATGTTTTTCCAGTTGTAGGTGAGTCTCTGGGGGTCAGAAGAAAAAAGGTGTGTCAAAACAAAAGGCAGGAGAACCGTCTGGAAGAGGCTCAATGGTGGAGACACCCAGCAGCTAAGCGATGCCTTCTGAAGGAAGACGGTGTAGACCCCTGATGGTGACCCCAGTGGGAAGGGCAGAAGAACATTTTTCAGGGATTTCAAGCGCCAGAGAATAATCAGTTCAGATAGAGACCTCCTAAGAGCACCAGCATTAATTAATATAAGCTACATAGTGAAAAAAATGTGTCTATTAAAAAGTGAAAACTATGGGCCTGACTTGCAATCGCATCATTAAGGAAGTGGAAGATGAAGAGTGTCGATATCAATGAGACGGAACGCTTGTTGCAGTGCTCTCAGCAGGACTTAAATGTGGCAGGACTGCAGAAGTAGGCAAGAACCACACACTTCTGCTTCCCCTTTTGCTTTGGAACTGGGCCAGGATGCCCCAAATAAGCCAGATTTGCAACAAGCCAGAGTAACACACAGCTGTGCACTTATTGCCTGGGATGATGGTCCTTAAGCTGGCTGCACATTTGGGTCACCTAGGAAGCTTTCAAAACCCCAGGCCTCTGGCCCCCCTGGGACGATGGCTGGGGGTGGGGGGCCCAGCTGTCATGCTTCTGAAACTCCCAAGTGATTCCCGTGGGCAGCCCAGGCTGAGAACAAAGGTTCAACAAACAGTACACAAAGCCCTCAAATTCATTACAAAGCTGGGAAGGGTTAATGCTCTTGAAATGAAACCCCTCATTCATTGTGAAAGAGAGTTCTAAAATATTCTTGAAAATATATTTTCAGGGATAGGATGAAGATTATCCCCAGGAAGCACATGGAGATAAAGGAAAGATAGGTGTCATACGTACACCCTCTCCAGTCAAGTGCAGACTCATGAAATGCTCCAATACAAAGGAATTTAGACATAGCTCTGTCCCTTCTTAGCCAGATTATTTTATCTTTAATTCAGGGATCATTTAGGGTGAAATGTAATACAGGATGCTGAGAAATGAGGTCCTGCATTCTTCTTCTAAATCAGGGGACCCCCCCGTGAGCCAGACTCTCCCTGGAGGTCCACGGCAGGATCTTTGGTCTTTTCCCTCAATTTTTATCATTGGCTTATTGGCAAATACCATAGCAACTCCATAGTGCCCTCTGGATCACCTGCTTTCAAGCATATTCTTACTAATAGATGTCATGCTTACTCAGAATGATAATGATATGTAAGAAGCTAAGTACCAGACTAAGTGAATCTTTCAATATATTTTAAAATATTCTAGTGAGACTTGAGTGTCTATATTATAAATGTGCATTGGTTTTATGTATTTACGTACATACGTGTATGGACTGGCACGGAGCCCTCTGCAGAGAGGTGATCGGCCCCACTGACTGCGCAGGCGTTGCCCACTCTAGCTGTCTTTCATCCTGGACTCACCCCTCCCTGCCTCCTGGCACCTCCTGGGTCTCTGGACACAAGACCCAAGTCTCTGCTCCCTCTTCCTTCTCTGGGTGACTGCGGCACTTGGGGACCTTTGCTGCAGTTCGGGGGAGAAGGAAGTTGACTGGGTGAAGACTAATGTCAGTTCACAGGGAGTGACCTTCCCCAGGAGGCCAGACGGAGACAGAGCAGGAGTGACAGAGCTCTTGAGGAAAGCTTTGGCCTCTTCTGTGCCTAAGACTCTGACTACGTATGGGAGCAGCGCCGAGGCAGGTTCGTCTGTGGGGCAATAGCCAGCTAGGAAAGCTCGGAGGAATGCACAGTGGATGTACTATACACGAGTTAGTTTGGCCAGAAGCAAGATGCAAATCTTATCACATCTTGGTGATCCCAGCATCTTATCCCATTTTGGGGTATCTTATTATCTTTGGAGAAAATAATGGATGTGTTAGTAAAACTTACATAGATTTTGACTTTTTTTTCCTTTTTTTAGTTTGTAGGGGAGCACCTCTCTAAGCCTGATGTGATCAGAAAGAACTTTGCCTTTTTTTATAACTAGAAATTATAATCAGGAAGTCATTGTTACTGCTTTGAACTGTGCCAAGGGTAGTCAGTCCGTGAAATAGTATATGAGGTTTTCAGGCGTCACAAAAACATTTATAAGCACCCACAGCAAAGGCCGGCACGGAGTCGCTCAGGAATTGTTAACACTGTCTTTCCTCCACAAGGCCAAAAGTGTGAAAAACTAATCTTGATCTCAAATGAAAGTCACCTGTACCTCGTGGAATATCATAGAACTTTCAGGTCTGACTTTTTACCTTGAACTCCACATTCATCAGTCATCCACCACGTTTCCCATCTTGGGTTCGTTCTCAAGATTTGTTATGATGAGTCTTCCATTTAAGAACATCTTTGCATCCATTCACGCTTTGGGGGAACAGCCTGTTTTTTTTCTAGTCATCTAGTAGATGTTTTTTTCTTTAGGAATTAGTTCTGTTATTACCAGATTTCACACTGCTGTTTTTTAAATCTGCCCAAAAATCTGTTTAGATTTTTAGGGTTAATGTTTTAAACTGCTGATTCCATCTCTCCTACCTTTTTTCCTCTGCCAGTGAGTATGTTTGTTTCTCCATTTTAAAAAGTCGTCTTCCTGCAGGTAGACACGGCCAAGGCACCGCTGAGAAAGCCACCAGCCAGGCTGGAAAAACTTAAGATCGACAACGAGGCGAAGGCCTTCCCACGGAAGGTCAGAGCAGAGAGGCAGTGGGCGGTGGAGCCGGGGAGGAAGGCACCCCAGCTCCTGCAGGAGGTGGGTGCTGCCTGCTGACATGGGCTCACGTCTGTAGCTTCCCTGTCAGCAGCTTTAAGACAAATGGCACGGATTGTTACAAGTTTTTCCATGATCTGTATGCTTCTTATGCTGTGTATTTAATTTTATTTTCATTCTCCTTGTGTGGTGAAGGAATAAAGCAGGATCTTGAAGCTGGTCGAGCTAGCTTCACCCTGTAGTTTAAGGAAGCACTATTAGTTTCTACAGATGAAGCATATAGCATTTTCGTTTTCTCCATATAAAAAAAGACAACCTGGAGATGGGGTGAGGGGTGAGAGTAGACGCGGGGTGAGGGGTGCAGCCAGGAGGAGGCGGCCAGGCCGTCACACAAGCCCTGTAGCATTTGCACAGGGGTCCCCGGAGCCCTCACAGCCGTTCTGCCGGGAACCAGCCCTCGGAGCTCGGGTCTGACAGCCTTCATGTCCATCTGCACGCGGCCTCTGCAGAGAATGAGGACGGGACAGAAGGGTCCGCGGGTGCCGCGTCAGCAGTGGTCCCTCCGCACGCGCCCGTTCAGTGAGGAATGGAGTAGAGAAGCCATGCAATTAGTGACAGGCAGTATTAATGGGAACGCAGAGAAAGTTCCCTGGGCTCTGTCTCATTCATTCGCTGACACTGCTTTTCAGACCAAAGAAGAAGTAGAAAGGCTGCGGGGTGACGGGCGCCGGCCCCCAGGTAGCCCTTCGGGTCCTGCTGGAGCGGGCGGCGCTGAGCATCCTCTTTCCAAAGGACCCCAGGCCGGGCGCGGACCTGCTGACCCCCAGGACGGGAAGCCTCTGAGAAGGGAGGCGAGCCGGGGGGCTGCCGCGTCAAGGGCTAGAAACTTCAGTTACGGCGGAATCGGGGCTGTGGAGTCAGACGAGTCCTACAACCGGGCAGACGACGAATTCTAATAAGCCGTCTTACGTGGATTTTGTGAAAAGGCGTCACTCCGCCCTGGGGGCATTCTGAGTCTCTCCTGTCTCCTGTCTCCTGCCTGCAGCCCCCCGGGATTTGCCTTCGGTTTGGGAACAATTGCGGGGCTGAACGGGCTGGAGATGCGTTAGGTAGCTTCAATGTCCCCGCGAGCTTTGAACTTGACCAGCTTCAAGGTTAGGAAGTTGGCATTCTCCTTCAACGCGGATTTAAACACAGTGATGAAGACGTGTTTCATTTACAAGTTCCTTCCAATTTAATGTGTTTATGCCAAATAGAATCCTTCTTTCGTGCTTCTGTCCATTGGCTGTGCCCACCCGAGAGGGTCCTTTGAGACAAATTGCATGGACTTGTATTAAGCGTTTTAATGATCTGTATGCTTCCTATGCTGTATTTTTAGTTTTCTTCGTTAATTCTCTGTGTGTTGTGAAGGCTGAAGGCACTGTCTTGAAGTCAGTTCAATTACAGTTTCATCCATATAGCTTTAGGAAGCGATAGCCGGTCTGAGAATTAAATATAGAGTTTTCTTCATATGAAAAACGAAAACTTCAACTAGGTCTAGGGGCGGAAGCAGGTCCAGGGGAGGGGGTAGGCTGGGAGGGGGCCCTAATGCCAGTGCCTGAGGCCAAAGGACACCAGGCTGCACGTGCTGAGCCGCAGGACGGGACGCTGCTGAGAAGAGAGGCGAGTCGGGGGGCTGCCACGCCAAAGGCCAGCTCCCTGGGGGCTCTCTGAGCTGAGGACTTGGCTGGCCTCCGTTTTATCGGAGTTATGCTCTGGTTCTTTCCTCTCCCTCCCCGCCCACATTCACTCAGTTACCAGGTCTGACCAGTCTACATTCTAAAGACCTCTTGCACCCATTGGCATACTTTTTTCCGGCCACTACCTTGTTTGGACCACCCTGCCATCATTCAGCCGATTACTCCAACACTTCCCCTGTCTTCCTGCAACAGCCCCTCTGCATAAGACCCTTTGGGGGCCCCTTGTATTGCCAAGGAAAAGTCCGGACTCCTTTTGTGACTGGAAAGGATCTCAGCCTCCCGGGTCGCCCTTACTGAACTTCCGGCTCCTCAAACTCGCCCACTTTCCCCAGCCAATGAGTTTTGCACATGCTGCCCCCTCTGACCCTCTTCTTGGGCTGACTAATGCCCTCTTGTTCATGTCTCCACCTAGCCCACCTTCTCTGAAGCCCTGGTCTGGGTTGGTGCCCTCTCTCTGGCACACCAGGCCCCTCATCGTGGCACTGCCACCCATTCTGGATGGCCTGCTGTGTTTTCCTTGTCACCACTAGATATTTCAGGTCTACTAGGGCAGGAGATGAATCTGTCTTGTTCGTGGTTGCATTTTTTGTACTTTGAAAAGTGAATGGCACGTAATAAGTGCTGTGTAAACATTTCTTCAGTGCATGAATTGATGTGCCTGGGCATCTTGCGGAAGCAGGAGGGCAGCCCCAGGAGACGGCGTGTTTTTCTGGGAACCAGGGGCTGGGGCCAAGCTGGTCTGACAGGAGAACCACACGTGAGCAGCAAGATATTTCTCATTCAGCCAATGGAGATTATCTTGTGGTGGCATGTGCCAATCTTACAGAATATTAAAGTAGCTAAAAAGATTGCACTAGGACACTTAGGCAAAGATTTGGGTTATCATTCAGATTTCTGCAAATAATAAAACTTAAATGACTAAAAAAATACTTTAAATGCAAACTTATAATAACCATTGTAAATTAAGTGCCCAAATTTGATAAATACCTAAATAATACTTTCTGTTGAAATCTTGTGCTCTTGCCTATGTTACATATAGCGGTTTGGATATGCTTGTTGAGTCAAAATTTATATAGTATAGATGTGAAATTATTGTGAACACCCTGGCTTGAAAGCCACTCTGTGTATATAGAGTTAAACATGCCGAAGGGTGACACACCCTGAATGACAAGCTTGTATTTTCTTAACAGGACCGTCCACTTTAACAGGAAGGGAAGGGAGATGATGAGTTGTAGAACCCTTGGATACCAGAAACAGCTCCAAATCTCTGAGTATGTCACACTCACAAATACCATCTGAGCATTAGGGACAGAGAAGTGGGGGCTCACAGACTGAAGCAGCTTCGCAGAGCTTAGCATTCACCGAGCTGAAGCTTGTGTTTGAACTTGCACGAGCTACCAGCCCCATCTCTGGGACATTTCTTTTTTAACTTCAAATGTAAATGTGACTTTTTTCCGTGATCACCTTTCTTTTCCTTTTTCTTAAAGGATGATTATTACTAAAGAGTAATGGAAAAGAAAATTCTAAAATACAGCCTCTGGGATCATGCTAATTTTATGTGTTGAAATAACATAATTGGTTTTCTCATTCTTAAAACATAAAGTTTTGAACAGCCACCAGGGTATGTCAACTAAAACTCAAACTACAACCTCCAGGAAGTTATGAGTCAGAAAAACAAGATTAGGTAAATGTCTCTATAAACATTGTAACTGGGGACCACTGAAAAATGCCTGCACAGAGTTTTTGGGGAAAGATGGCTTTGCTGTGTCTAATAGAAGATATTTTAATATCTAGGAACTCCTCCAGGATTTTTTGTGGGGTAGGTGGGAAGCCTTACAGATGACTCACATTTAAAATAATATTTTAAAGGTGAATTGAAAATGATTCCACATATATTTAAATTACTACACGTTGTAAAACTCTTACATTAGCAAAAGTAATTTTGCAATCCCAGGGACGGACAAAAATAGAACTTATCATAGAGTGTTGCTATAGTGACTACCAGCAATTTATGACCGTGCCTATCTCTGTGTCTGTTATTCCATTATCAGTAAGTAGCTAGTATTTGAAGGAGTAATTATAGGGCAAATACCACCTTCTAAAGATTTATAATGCTACAGTGTGTCAGCAGATCACTTCTGCACCCACATAACCTGTATACACTGTGCCCATTTGTGGGACTGTGGAATTTACATCTCAGGCAGGTCAACAAAGGGCATTATTTTAAAATAAATTGCAGGAGATGACAGTTAAGGTGTCTCTGTGTCACTTGTATATTTGCTTTTAAAAAAAAACTGTCTCTTTGTTTTGATTTTTAATTACATAAGTAATATGTCCTAGGAAATACTGAAAAACATAAGCAACGAAGGACCCCAGGGATCGAGTATTTTTCTCCTGCAGAGATAACTGCTGCGAACATTTTGCTACATGCACTTCAACACTTTTTCTTAGCAAAAATGGATTCATACACCCTAAGCTAATTGCAACTTGTTTTTTTCACTCAACAATAAAATGTCTTTTTATATAAATAAATCTACTCCCACAGTATCTTTCCTAATGCTGTAACATTGTTTAGATTTTTCTATTCTGTTTCTACAGATTCCCATAGTTAAAGACAGAACATGTTTCCATTTCTGTTTTTAAAATGTTGATAAGTAGAAGAACTTGAAGATTTCCGGATTTGCAGCAAAGCAGCCTGACACCCCCCCGCCAAGGGCCACGCCCTGGTCGCCCCGCCCTCCCCTCCACACTCACACCAGCTTCCCTCATCTATCCTTCCTCCTGCCCTGGAAGCTTCCCAGTGAACACAAGGTCAGGTGCAAATCTACCTCCAGACTCTTCTGCTCAGAAAGTTCAATTCATCTCATCACAGTTTCTATTCAGCACACTGAGATCTCAAGTATGCTTCCCATGTGGTGATAAAGAGAAAAAAAAGAGTGACACATCTTATATGTCAGTTGGCTTTCCATTGATCAGAAATAAAGACTAGCCCATTGCAAGGTGTTATTGACAGAAAGTGTTTGCAGTTAAGAGCCTGAAACAAGAAATTACAGTCATAAAGTATTTTGACTATTTTAAGCACAGAATGCAATCATTCTAAACATCAAGGTCATGAAAGGAGTAATTCAATTCCCAGTAATTTCTAGTAATTAATACATAAATGTCCTCTCTGTAATGCAGTTCAATGCCTAAGCCAAACACAATATATCATCTAAAAATATATATGGCAACAACTCATGCTGTTTCCTGCTAAGTTTAAAATCAACAGCAGCGTTCACTTGCTAAACAGGAGAACAACTGTATATAGAGGATCATTTACCAACTCCTGGACTGGCCTACGCCAGGGATGCTGAGTGTGGCCCCACCATCAGCCCTGCATTCCCTGGGAGCTTGGGATGAATGCAGGTTCTTGGGCTCCACCCCAGACCTTCTGTTTCAGGTGAGCACCTCAAGTGAAACCTGTGCTTCCATGCCCTTGGGGGTCAACCGAGCCACACCCAGAATCAGCTGCCCACTGGAGAGGAAGGGGCCCTTTCCAGCAGGGCAAACACCCCTCCCCTAAAGGCCAACTTGAATATTTACCAAGAATAAGTATATTTATTCTAAAAACTATTTATGCCATTTGTTCTAGGTATTATATTTAATTTTTAATAGCTTTTTAAAAATGTGGTCTGTAAAGGAATAGAAAAGATTGTAAGAACAAATCTTCGAAGGTCCTGCACTCCCATCATTTCATTAAGTATCCAAATTTCATCCTCCAATTTAAGGAAACAAATGGCAGTTGTAGGTAGGCTGTTATCGGTGTGATTTGTATAATCATTCCAATCACACCTTGGAATTCCATCAAAGTATTTTCAAATGAAACTATATGTAAATGTTTTAAGTTGAAATATTTTGTGTATATGCATTGTTTCTTAAGACACCCTGTCTAATCGACTATTTTTTTATTTACTAACCATCTCCCAGACCTGACTGCACCTATTATATTTTAAAGGAATTTTATAATACAACCTCTAGTATGTTGATGTGAATATTTTAAATATTTTATATTTAAAATCAGTTCTTTCTCACATGCCATTCAAAATTGCTGAAATTATTTTTCAAACCACTTAAGGGGATTTGAAGTTCTAAAAAAGCTGGAAGATATACTGTTAGTGTTTATGTAACCAGTCCCTGTTATTGGAGATCTTGGTTATTTTCAACTGATCAATTTTATAAGTTATTGCAAATAATTCTACAGTCATCACCCAAATGCTACTTTATTCAATTAGTTTTAAATTTCATCTGGTAAGTTGTATCAACTGGAATTTTTATTTTTTTGGATCTTGAGTCTACCATTTGCAGAGAATTTGACAACTCAGAGAAATTGCCATTTGCACAGAAATATTGTGACAATGAAGCGACTATTTGATTAACTCAGACGAATTGGAACTATGTGTTTAATTCTCCTAGGAGGGTCTGCTTATTCCTTTGTCCTTCCAAACTTGCTAAAATCTAGCTGTCACCAACTGCAGCAGCTGAAGTAGAGAAATTCATTAGGACTTAAGTCCTCAGCCCACAGTGAGGAATAGGCTAAAGACCAGCATCTCCACAGTCACCTACTGTACAGCCAAGGAAATCATGTCCTTGGCGGACAGCCTTGGGGGACTGGCTGGGCCAATACGATATTCCACTCCCTGTAATGTAAACACCATAGGTCAAACGTGGTCCAAATGTGGGCGATTGCATGTCGCTTGGCCTGATGAAAACCTGCTATTTCATATGACATATGATCAAGGGGCATTTCAGGGCCTACCTAGAAACGTTCTCCAGATAAGTGTGAGGATGGGGGGAGAGAAGGAAAGCATGGGTTCTCGGCCAGCACACAGGGACCCTCACAGTGTCCCCCGGGCCTCCCAGCACCCAGCTAAATGGAATCCTCCCAGAGGTGGCTGCTGATTTGCTGTTTCTCCCCTACAACAAGATCAGTGAATATTTCCCAATAAGTCTTTTTCCTTCTCCACCTAGTCTGAAATCAAAAATCGTTTCCAACTCCAATCCCCAGTTTTTCTGAGATAATTCCGTACTTTTGAGTTAATATTGTTAAATTGCCTGTAAAGTAGGCTCCTTTGCTTCAAGAGTTCGTATTTGCAATTGTACGCAGCTTCCCAGTCAGTCTCCCTCATTCATTTAGGAAGACAGATGTGCACGTATTTCAGCAGGAAATAACTCCAGTTTCATTGCTTCAGCCATCACTGTCTTACCTCATCGCAATGCCTAATTGGGACTGCGATCTGGTCAGGGCATCCCCTTCCATTTGGGGTCACCTAGGTGGTAAAGTCTTAATTTGTGTGTATCTTCACATTTCTTCCACATGTGAGATGGGAAACCTTGGCTGGGTACAGGACTATTGTTTGTAGTTTTTTCTCTCAGACATCTGCAGATTTGATTCTGCTGTCTTTTAGTTTCTAGTGTTATAAGAAGTCCAATGCCAGTCGGACTCTTTTTCTTTGGGAAGTGATTTGTTCTTTTTGCCTGGAGGTTTTATGATTTTCTATCTCTTTTTAACTCAGGAATTTTATTATATCTTGATGTGCGTCTTTTCTCATACGTGTAGTCTGGAAATCAGATATTCTTTTAACCTTCAGGACACCAAATATTTGTTTAACTTAAATAAATGTTCTTTTATTATTTTTTATTATTTTTATTATGTTCATTTCTTCTCTTTCTAGAGCTATATTACAGAATTAAAAGTTTAGGCCTATTCTCTAAATCTCTCATCTTCTCTTTTGATGTATGTTTTTTTCTCTGGTCGATGAGGTAATTCTTGGGCTTGCTTTCCTAAGCCCACTAATTTGGGTTTTAACAGTGAACTTCTATTTATCTTTGGAATTGCTTAATTGGTAAATTATGTTTTGTTTTGTTTTTAGTTTCATAATTCTTTTCTGTGTTGACAGCGATTCTCTTCATTTGACCTTGTTCCCTGCCCACCCCACCCCCCCCCCCCACTAAATCGTTGCCTGTCTAGTCCAGCAGCTTCGTTCTCAGACATGTATTCTGTTTGTTACAATGTGTCATTGCGCGTTGACCTTCTTTAGGTGGGACTTGTTATTGTAGTTGGACGTCTGATTGGAGCACTCACATAAGATCATTTAAACACCCTAAAAGGCAGGAGCGCCGGGAAGAGGGAGGCAGAACGGTCCCCGCCCGGGGAGTTCATGAGTAGAAGCCAGGCCGTCAAGTCCCGATGATGCACGTGGGAGGAGGGTCCCCGACACTGGCCTCCGTGTACTTTCAGTCTTACGGGCAGAGAGGCAACCCTTTTAGCATCTTAACGTTAGAGAAGCCCAGTAGCCAGACACATTTTGTCAGAGTATATGGTGATTTCTCCAGGGACTCCTTTAATCTCTGAAAGCTACCAATATCCACCATTGTCAGTCCTGGGCTCCCTGAGACTGGTCTCCGGATAGTCATCCTGCCCCTGGAAGAGAAAGCCGTATGTTGTTCTCTCTGCCAGAGTCCATCTACACCTAAGACCTTGCTTTCTCCAGCTCCGCGGAGATCCCAGGAGCAGTTTGGCTCAGAAGACCCATAAAGATTGGAGCTGGGAGTAAAGGGAGAGAGACGGTCCCATTCAGATGGACCCGTTCTCCCAAATGCTTCTGCACCTTCCACGAGGGCTTGTAAATATGTTTCTATTCATTTTCTTATTCTTTAATCAGATAGAATCTCTCACCCACAAATGTATTTTGAATTTTCCCAAATGCTTCTTCAATATATTGTCAAAGTGGATCTGCTGTTTTTCTCCTCTGCCCTATTAATGGAATGAATTATATTAGCATCTTCATCAATACCACACAACCTCCTGGACTAAACCCCCAGCCAAGTTATTTTGTCAGATTCGTTGTGTCTTCATTATGGTTATTTCTCACAAGAAAGATATCATAGGAATTTTCTACCTGAAACCTAAAGCTGTGCTGCCCATCCTCCTCCCAAGTTGCTAGATTTGAGTCCGTCTGCTGATACCGCTCCTGCCAAGGGAGCCACATATTTGCATTCAACTCTGCTGAATCTGAGGAAGTTGCCCTCTGAGCTGGAGACCCCCTTCTCAGCTCTACCAATACCTAATTTATTCATGCTGTGATGTTTGATCAATCTATGTTTAACACCAAGTTGTATTTTATTACATCCTTATTCTTTTCTTTAAATTAAACTTTTCATTTTGAAGTTGTAGGAAATAATACAGGGAGATCCTATGTGCCTTTTACAGTTTCTCCCAGTGGTAACATCTTGCAAAGCTGTAGTACACGATCGCAGCCAGAATACCGACAATGGTACCGACAAGAGAGAGGGTATTTCCATCACCACAAGGATCCTTCATGTTGACCTTTTAAAATTTTGTAAATGTTCGTGGTTAAGAAAACATGTAAAATAAAATTTACCATCATAATATTTTGAATTGATTACCTCTGGTGAAATTCCAAAGTGGTTATGTAATTAATCACGGTACACTAAAAT